CTGAAGTCCAAAAATGTTTTGCAGCAGCTTCCATTTATCACTGTAGGACTACAGAAATCCTATTCTTCTCTCAGACACTTTTTGAAAAACTCCTATTAAGCAGGAATTATATCTGCAACAAGAATTCTAGAACAGTTAAAGTGTTGTGATGTGAAAGTTAATATATTAAGTTCTCATTTGGATGGCTACTTAGGAGTACTACCAGACTGCAATTTTTAACATTTTTTTTTATTTCAGCCTACCCATAGATCTTATTTACTACTGGTATTACAATTGCTTTCTTGTAACTAAAACAATCAAACAGCAAAGTAAGTTTTCTATTTCACCTATTAAAGCCCAGAATTCATGAATCTGCTATCTCGTTTCCTCCAAAGACATGCCTCCAAAGGCATGAAACAGTAATTCATGTACTGCAGTAACTCTGCTTTATGCTTTTCATATGCTGCCTGCAGGCACAGCAAATAGGAATAAAAAATGGAACACAGCACCAACAGATCTTGCTCTATTCTCTGTATCTATGCTTTTAGCTTCCACACTCTGATTGTTTGTTACAGCTCCTACAGCTCTGGGAAATGACAGACTCACAGACACTGTGAGCACTGCAGCTCTCCTCCTTTCAGGCTCTCATTCCCAGGGTGAAGGAAAGAATGATGGAATTGGCATGCTGTTCTGTCCTCAATTTGGAGGCTGAGATAAGTGCCCCATGGAGAATTTCACACCAAGGAAGTCACAAGCAGGTGTTATTAGAAAGTCTGATGACAACAGTGGATGAAGATTAATTTTATTAACTAATACTCCGCATTTTATTAGTTTATCAACTCACTGTCCCCTGTGTAATTTTGTTTCTTGCAGCAAAGAAGGGCAGCTTTTTCCTATAAAAGCAAAGAGATACTCTACCATGTGTTGTGTCTTTCCCTCTTGTTAACCAGTGAATGCAAAAGAACTTTATCCTGTCTCCAAGCTCCTGTTTGCAAATAAGGGAAATGTCCTAGCCATTCTCATACCAACTGAAAAGAGTATGGACACTGGCAACTCAGAAAACAGCTAGGCTTCTGCATGTCCTCAGTACTAACCATATAATTTTCTTCTCGAAATGAAGTTTCCAAGGAAATGAGAAGACAGTTTGAGAAATGTAACAGAACAAAGCAAAATTAAAAGTCTGGAGTTAATTTTTTTTTTTTTTCAACTTTACATATACATGGTACACTGTTATTAGGTTGCAGTTATGATCTAGGGGCTCATAATTTCATTAATTTATTAGCAGTAATCATTACCTGGATTACTGAGATCAAGCTTCTATCATACTAACAAGTGCATATTCACAAAGGAATACCTGTTCTAAAAACATATTCTTAAATGGACAATACAGACAACAAGAAACTTCGATCTCATGTTGACTGAACTGGGGGAAAAAAAAAAACAAACCAAAAAAAAAACAAACAAAAAACAAACCCACAATTTTTTAAAGTCATTAAAGAAATCCGCATCACAGTCAGGAACTGAATGCAGATCTCCTTAGTAAGTAGTTAGCTGACATAAGGACTGTGAGATAACTGCATCCATTGCAAGCTCCCTGAGTTAAAATGGCTTCCCCAGAAATTACATTTTACCTGTATTGTTTATTATGATAACATGGTGGATTTTCAGCAGAGCTGTAGCTTTTTGCACTTTAAGAAAGTCACCAAGCTATCTTGACTAATTTTGTTTATCTGATGATCTTCTGTTAAGGCTTTGAAACAGATCCTTAAGTCTCAGCATAAATTAAAACATATTGGGCTGCAAGTTCAAAACAAAAACCCCAAACCAATAAGGAAGGAAAATTGCATTTCCAGATAGTCTTTACTTGCTATTAGACAAGGACTGTTCATCCAGCTTTGAGCAAAAACTGGACTAGACGACTTTCTGCGGTCCCTCCCAACCTGAATTATTCTTGCAGTCCTATGAGACTTCTGTTTTCAGGTATGTTTTCAGAAGTCACTTATGATTTAATTTGCATGGAACATGTTATTACTGGCTTCCCTTAGACTAAGTGGAAAGGCAACAGCCTTGCGACCTGTAAAATCACTCCCAATCCCTATTGATAGCAATGATTTTAATTTGTTCTCTGGGATGCACTTATAATTAGCTTGGATGAAAATCCATGATTAAGAAACACAGAAATAGACCTCGAGGAATAAGGAACCAAAGTCTAAATCCCAGAATAGAAGAATGAGAACTCTTAGTTTGTACTGAGTGCTTTTCATGTGTCGCTCTCAGAGCATGTGACTATGAGAATTCTTTGACCACTCTGCCTGCAGCCACAAAACCCTAAACAAAACACATTTATTAATATGAAGGCTTTCCTACAATCCAGTTTTCACTGCATAAAACCCCCCAACCGTTTAAATATTAACTAAACCAACTAATTAGATATTATTAAACTCTTACTAGCAGCAGAACATATATTAGTACAATTGAATATAACTTGACTAGTCAGGAAATGCCTAAGTAAAAGCAGTAAGACCTTGGCTAGTTAATTACTTGTCATTAATAGATCAATAAGCTGCTTTGATCCTGACTTGTTTAAATATGTTAATTGAGCAATTTCTCCCTGAGAAGGAATCATGTTGTATAGCAATGTGACCCCCAGAAGGCAAAAAGGTGAAAAAGTTGAGTTGCTGCACTTGTCTTCTCAGTTTTCTCTGTTGTCTTTGAAGCAACTTAAAACAAATGGATTAGTCTGTTTTAAGTGGTTACTTAAACATCTGAAAGGTGTTAAAAGGAAGTTCTGACCTAGGAAAGCATCTGTGGTCAAGGCCACAAATGCCATCCTGATTTCTTGAAGTCTACAGAGGTTTTACCACTGGCTTCAATAAAACCAGTAATCCACTTCCTGAGGAACATAAAACTTCGTTGTTGTTTTTGTTTTGTTTTTTTTTTAATTTCTTTGTGTGGGCACCATACTGCAATGATTTATGTACGAAGTTCTGTAGTAGAAGCAACATGAGTATGAGGTATGAAAAATTAGTTCCTTAGCTTAGAAGCTACTGACTGAAGCCAAGACAACAGCTCAGAAAGAAAATGTATTGGCCTCTTTGCCCTGAACACAGAAATTGCTGCTGTGCTATGTGTACAAACCATTCTAGGTGTCATGCAGACACTGCACAGTGATTCTCTGTTATTGTCTTGGTTGAAATTACCTGCCTTTGTTGCTTCTTTCTCTCACAGGAAAAAACCTCACCTCATAGTATATATCTGGAAACTCATTTTCAAGACCAGAAAATTGGTTTATAAAGGGTTTCTAAGAGAATTTATCTTTCCACATAAATGGTATAAACATTAAGAAAGAGGCATCTGCAAAATACACAGAAACACTTTTAAGAAGCTGAAAAATGTGAATTGTAATTGTATCTGTAATTGGGTATTCCTTAAAAAAAAAAAAATTTAGGAAGTTATTCTTTTCTGTACTGCTTAATTGCTCTTTTAAATCTAGAAACTATGGCAAACATCTGCAATTACAGTATAGGTTTCCTTTATTATAATATAAATATAAGCTAACAAGCATAATTTGGTCCTGAAATAGTAAACTTACACATTTAAAGGAGAATCTAACACTGTACTAGTGTTTACACTGTATTAGTCTTACACTTACACAGTGTAAACTATGAGCTTTCTATGCACCTCATCTCCACCTCACATCCCCAATTAAATTCACCTTCTAAATACCTGCCAAAAGTTACATCCATGTACTACTTTTCTGAAGGATATGCAAGCAGAGAACTTGTATCCATCAGCAGAATCTAACCACAATACTTCTTGCTATGAACATAATTCAGGATCCTATACATTAAGGCCCAAGAAAGAAGGAATTATTTTCCACTTTGCAGAGTCTCTGTGCAAAATAATAGCAAGAGACAAACCATGCATTAGAAACAGTTCAAAAACAGCAGGGAGGAGGGAGAGGAATAAGTATTACAGTATCTGTTAACTAACAGAATGCTTATTGAAATAGGTGTAAGATGCACATTGATGCCAAATGAAACCTTTTGTATACCACCAGAAGAAATCATAACAAAATAGGTTCATGAGGGGAAGCAGCTTAAAGTATAACACTATAAGCATCCAGCCATTAGTTTAATCTGAAACGCATTTTACTTGCTACTACCACAACAAAACTCATTACTCAAACACCTAATTGTTTTATGTTCCCACTTATAATCTGGTCTTTGTTAAGTAACATTAAAGATTTATTTAATATAAAATGCTATCATACATGGAGCACAGATAAAGTACAAGGTGCATCTTAAAAGAACTTGTAAGATTGAATTCCTCCTCTATGTGTTATTTTACTGATTCTGAGACAACACTTTTGTCTTTATCAGCTAAAGGTAAGACTTGTTGAGGAGGCACACACAGCAGCAGTAGGACTGTTCTCTTTGAGTAAAGCTGCCCAGCAAAAAAAGAAACTTATAATAATCTACTTGTAGGTAATAGCATATCACATTTTCCATATAACCATATTACCAACCTTGCCAATCTCTACAATGTGTAAGGCATCTGATTACCCACAAATACTGCTGTGTTTAAGAAACTGTTTCAGAGATAATAGTGGGAAAATTCCAGCCCTCATTCAGCCAGTGCCCTTGCTGACTGTATCATATCAAAGCTGACAACCAGAAAAACAGGAGAAGTTCAAAGCAATTTTTCAATGCCTCTGTTGATTAAACTTTCTAAGTTACCCTGTTCACCAAAAGCCTTCTGCTTTGAGGAGCAACAGATCTGAGAGAAGAATACACGGATTTGTGCTGTAACAAAATTCATTTTAGCAGTAAGTAAACAGGCAAAAATTTCCTAAGAAAGTAATTTCTGTATTTTCAATGACTTACCTCTTTGTGAACTTAAATGAAGGAGAGCAAAGAAGTATGTTTACTGAGTGGACTGGTCTACCAGCAATACCCGTTGAATTGTTCAGAGAAATTTTTTTAACACTGTATTTAACTTGTAGCCCATTCTCAGCCTACCTGGTGTATTCAGAAGCCGGGACATCTTGCAAGAATAGGAGATAAACTGCTCGCAGTATTCAGCACTCCTAGTAATGGCTGAAATTTGGTCCATCGTTGCACTGTAGTTAAGCTGCACTACAGATAACTTTTCCAGAGTGTTGCCTCCCACAGAAGTCTGCATTTGCAGGTCATGGTACACAGTTGTCCATACTTTATCCTCTGGAAGAGAAGGGAAAAAGACAAGAGAAGAATCAGTAAAAGACAAGACAGTAGAACTGAATCAAAATAAACCTAGGCCTTTGACAAAAGGCAAAAATGTTCTGAAAGGTATCTTTTGAGGGGATAGTGGGGAAGAAGGGCACTGCACATAAAAACTCGTCACGTGAGAGCATAGTTCCAACAGCTATGAAATGATGAGAGGAAGAAACACTGATTGCCATACTAGTTTTGATAACAAATGCCCTGTGTGAGTAGACTTCCTTGAATGACTGATGCCAACAGAGACTTCTGGAACTAATAAGGATTATCTTTGATCAGAAATTGATTAGAAGGACACAAGGCTGATGCACTAAGGATTCAAGGTTTCTATGTGAGGAAAATTCACTGTGCTGTGGGCTGGAGAGCAACATTGCTTTGCAGTACTGTAACAACAGAGATGCACCAGGTTCATTTTGGTAGTAAGGAATACAGAGCATTGGCTGAATCTCAACACTTCCCACAACCTAGTGCACGTGCAAGCAGTGTGTAATACCCAGCCTACAACAGGCTGTAAATATTATACTGCTTTAAATTACTGAACAGCAAGTCTCTAGTGTGTGCCATTTATCAGTAGTTATCAGAGGAGATTTAAGATGAGATATCATAACAATGAAAAAATACACTCCTCTTGTTGGAAAACTTGTGGAAGTTGGAAGGTAGTTCAGAAAGGAAATAAAGAAAAGCTACAGAAATTTTTCTGTTATAGACCAACCACTGGGACATTCTTAGAGGGACATTCCACAGAATGAAAATTAAATTATCTGAGAAAGACATAGGGTTTCAGAATTAAAACAATAAAGATTCACTCAATATTAGAATGACAGAACCATAGAATGGCTTGGGTTGGAAAGGACCTTGAAGATCAACTAGTTCTAACTCCCCTGTATGGGCAGGGACATCTCCCACTAGACCAAGTTGCTCAAAACCCTGGCCTTGAACAATTAGTGATACTGACTTCCTGAAAGAATAATATCCTATCACTTAGGTGCGAAGAACTTTTAAATTCAAGTTGACCAGCTACCAGTGTAATAAACAACTATCTCAGCTGATACTACTCATAGTGTTCATCTCAACTAGCCAAGGATTGAAACAGGTCAATCCTTCTCTGTGTTACTACAGTAGACTGACAGTAAATAAAACTCAAAAAATTCTGCTTTCTATAGCTTATCCTTTAGCATATTATCAAAAAGTTTCCTAGAAGTGCCTCAGGTTTTGTTGTTAATATTTATCATGTATAGTTCTTTCACATTTTAAGTTATTTTTCTGTTTTCCTTTAAATTTTCTTTCTGCTGTTTTATATATTTCTAGTACTGAGGGCCAAGTCAAAACAATGTCTCTTGGATTTGGAATAGGAAATGTGGAACTGCAAAAAATTATGTAGGAATTTATTCTGCTGCCTTGCAGTGGCTTGCACAACAGCTCTGTTTCCTTCATGAGCCAGCCAGGCTTTTGCCACTGACAGTACAGCTGTGCCTGTAGAGTAACAACACTGACTACAGTCATCCTTCCAGAGATGCAGAGATGAAAACATGCCATGCTGCTAACTTTGCTGTATTTATCACTAAGACAGATTCTCCAGGGAGATCACTTGGCAGTTTCAGAGAATACTAACTCACCTGATAGATATGCCTCACAGTAATAAAAACTGGACATTGTAGTACACAGAAGTATGTTTTCAATTCATCTGTGCAAAATCTCATCCCTGTTAATGCAAATCTGAGTCACAGCAAAACTTCTGGCTTGATACTGTGCTTCAGTATTTTGACTATATGAAAATACTTTGATAAACTGAGACATACTCAAAAGTATTACAGTACTTCACCAAGTGCTTTTGCGCACTGGTGAGTTTTGGGTGCGACCAAGAGTAAAGTTATCTTTTCCTGCTATGATTATTCTTACCTCCTGGTCTCTTTACTCCACCTTATTTGCCAGTCTTATCTTCCATGCATAGTGTGAGACTATTTTGGATTACCTGGAGTCATATGGACCCATGTGTTTGCAACTGATACACTTCAAGTCTTTCTAATCAAACGTTCAGAGATAAGGTAAGAAAAGCAGATGGATCCTCCACAGGGAGTATGCATCACTAGCCAAATGAGATTAATTTCAGCTGGTGGTGCAAGATGGTTATTATTTTAATATTAATATCCTTAATCCAAAGCTCTATATAAAACAGAATGCTACTCTTGCACCAAGAAAAAAAAAATAATTACAAAAAAAAAGGCAGGGGAAAGGAAGAAGAGGAATTCTTATTTCTGTATTGCTTTGATCCCACTTCCAAGTACCAAGGAAAAAAATAATTGTCACCAGTCAAGTTATATAAAGAATACAACATAGTTTTTTTTGAGACCTTGAGATGGAAATTTACTGCAGATCCATTTTCAAGAAAGGACTGAGATAGTTTATACATTCCCTGACAACCATGTCTCATCTTTTTGCAGAAAACACTGCACGTGTAAGAGTTCTAACATGTTAGTAAGGCCTGTACTAGGCCTATTAGAGGCTCACATTGGACTTCTGACCCAGCAGACTCGTACACTAGCCACCATGAAACCATAGGAATGGCATCATCAACTGGAGGTCCACTAGGCGTTACGTCAGTGAAGGGAGTTCCCTTCAGATGATGGATCCGAGCCAATGATGCCCTGACACTTGCCCTCCCGAGGAGGGAGTTTCAGGCTTTACAGGCACACTGTATGGAAGAAGATTGAAACATATTCGTGAATGTATCTAGGTTGCCTTTAGATCAGTCAAATTTATCCTCTGAATCGCTTAAGGAACTTTGTGCTGAAGTACAAGTACTACTAATAGATAAAAGTTTATTTCACCTTGTCATGTATATATTTATGAATATTCATATATGTGCATAAATTCAATAACCATTTATAGAAAAGCATCTCAGTCTCTTCCTGCTGTCTGGAAGATGACTGGAGATTGATAATGGTATACGTGGCCAGCTACTGGAAGGGAATGTAGCTCCCACTTCACCTTCAATTACCTTGTTGACAGACTGGATCCAATTACTGAAGGGCACTTAATCATAGTACGGAAACACTTAGCAGCTTGCCAGTTCCCAGGGCACTCTCACTGGCCAGCCTGAAATCAGTTACATCAGAGTCACAATGCACATAAGACGGAAGCAAGTGACACATGGACAGAAGCAAGAGACACGCACAGGCTGACAATTGCCTTTACATTCTGCAAGCTGTCATTCGTTGGCACAGCCTTTCCAGCTGGTTGAGGGAGGTGACTGTCCTGCTCTACTCTGCACTGGTGTGGCCTCACCTCAAGTACTGTGTGCAGTTTTGGGCATCGCAATATAAAAAGGACATCAAGCTACTGGAGGGTGTCCAAAGGAGAGCAACAAGGATGTTGAAGGGTCTGGAAGGGACGACTTCTGAGGAGTGGTTATGGTCACTTGGATTATTCAGCTTGGAGAAGAGGAGGCTGAGGGGTGACCTCGTTGCAGTCTGTGGCTTCCTCACAAGAGATGAGGCAGGTACTGATCTCTTAACTCCTGTGACCAATGACAGGACTTGGGAAAAGGGCAGGAAGCTGAATCAGGGGAGGTTTAGGTTGGATATCAGGAACAGGTTTTTCACCCAGAGGGTGGTTGAGCACTGGAACAAGCTCCCCAGGGAAGTGGTCACAGTGCCCAGCCTGCCTGAGTTCAAGAAGTGTTTGGATTATGCTCTCAGGCACATGGTGTGATTCTAGGGGTGCCCTACACAGGAGTTTGACTTGCTGATCCTGATGGGCCCCTTCCGACTCAGCATACTCTATGATTCTATGTTTGCAGATTACATCAAATTGGGTGGGAGGGTTGATCTGCTTGAGGATATGACGGCTCTACAGTGGGACCTGGACAGGCTGGATCGATGGACCGAGGCAAATTTTGAGACTGAATAAGGCCAAGTGCCGGGGCCTGCATTTTGGTCACAACAACCCCATGCAACACTACAGTCCGGGGGAGGAGTGGCTGGAAAGCTGCCCTGCAGAAAGGACCTGGGGGTGCTGGTTGACAGTTGGATAAAAATGAGCCAGCAGCATGCCCAGGTGCCCAAGAAGGCAAATAGCATACTGGCCTGCATCAGGAAAAGTATGGCCACCAGGAGCAGGAAGATCATTGTGTCCTTGTACTCGGCACTGGTGAGGCCACAGGTTCAGTACTGTGTGCAGTTCTGGGCCCCTCACTACAAGAAGGACATTGAGGTGCTGGAGCATGTCCAGAGAAGAGCCACTAAGACGGCAAAGAGTCTAGAGAACAAGTCATACGAGGAATGGCTGAGGGAACTGGGGATGTTTAACTTAAAGAGGAGGCTGAGGGAAGAACTCATTGCCCTCTACAACTACCTGAATGGTGGTTGTAGGGAGGTGGGTCTTGGCCACTTATCCCAAGTAAATAATGACAGGATCAGAGGAAATGGCTTGAAGTTTTGGCGGGGAGGTTTTTATTGGATATTAGGAAGAATTTCTATAGTGAAAGGATGGTCAGGCACTGGAACAGCCTGCCCAGGGAGGTGGTTGAGTCACCATCCTTGGAGGTATTCAAGAAATGTTTAGATGTAGTCCTTCAGGGCATGCTCTAGTGGCCCAGGCTGTGGGTTTTTTTGTCACTGTTTTTTGGTGGAGTGTGTGTGGCTCTTTGTGATTATTTGGGTTTTTTTTTGTGTTGATGGTTGAACTCTGTAATCTCAAAGGTATTTTCCAACTATGACAATTCTGTGATTCTGTAAAAATCTGTGCCTGCACATCAGGCAGAATGATGGGAGGAAAAGTTGTGGCTGGTATACAGGAAGGGAATTCCTTGTCTGGGTGTGGGTTTTTACACTCTTCACACATTTTTCTGATTTAAATAAATAGCCCTGCTGTGAGGCATGAACTGAGACAGGCTGGAATGGGAGGGCTTTTCTTTGGCTGGAAAAACAATTTAACAATGTAACATGGGCACAGACAAAATC